ATGTCAAGGTATTAGGAAGACTTGATTATGGAAGGTCTGATGTCAGCGCAGTGTTAAAAGAAAAAGATATGAAACCTTATTGTTAGATAAGTATGTTAGATAAGTATGGAACTGCCTAAATAGAGAGAGGCATGAGGTGAGTGACAGGAACAATCTCACGAATTACTACTTTGGAATGAAGATTCTAGTACTCAGCTAGTTTGCTAAATAAATGGACCAGAGGGAGAAAAAAAAAAGTCAACAGATTAACTTCAGAAATTAAGCTTATTAATGGATTTTCATGCAGGAATGAATCCACCCATCATTATAGGGAAAGGCTTTCCTCAGCTGAAGATCATGCATTAAAATGTTTCTACATAAACTGCAGATGAGATATTGACTTTTTTTTTTCTTCTTTTCAAATGACTGTTCATTGACCTGAGGCAATGCTGTACTCTACCCCTTCATTTTGGGCTAATTTATATTTGTACCAGAACAAGTTGTTAGATTTAATCATGAACGGAAAATATTTGAATAAAGATTGTTCATCTTCACAGTCTTCTCTCCTCTTTTCACTTATTTATAGCAAAATTTCACTGTTTCATCCATAATTTAAGAACATGCAAGGAGGTAATTGGAATTGGAGGTAAATTATATTCTTTTGTGAAAAGTATAATTATCGGAAGTTAGTTAAAAACACCTAAATTCCCTTTAATTTTCATGCATGGAGCAGTTGTTTTGACAGATGGATGGACTTTATTTTTGTAGCCGTGCTGGGAAAGGCTGGGTAACAGAGTCTAATCAGTGCTACATATTTGTAATGTTTGTTTTTGAATCACTGTGCATTTGGCTCCTATATCATTTTCTGGGAGTAGACATTTTCTTTCTAATTTATTTTTCCAGGCTAATATCTCTATGTGTAATTCCTCTGAAATTACACATTTTACCCGAAAGGACTGGAAATCCTAAAAATAAATAAATAAATAAGTAAATAAATAAATAAAATTAAGTGCAAATGGTTTGTCATGGAGGATGATGAATCATTGCTCTTCAGGTGTGGCCCTGGGGTTTACTGGTTTATGACTGCTCTTACGTTTACTTCCTTCAAGGCTGAGTTAACAATTCATAACGCTGTGGGTCTGGAGTACATTTCAGTAAAATAAGAGGTCAGGATGGTTGCCTGACTCTCAAAAAGCCAAGTTGTTGCTAAATTTGTCTGGGTATATCAACTTGAATCCCAAAAAGGAGCAAGGTTTTGAAAATGAATTCATTTTCATCTGATTACATTCCCTTTATGACGTTGTAAATCCGCCAGTGCTGAGCAAAGCAGTGCAGTAGTCTAATGCCAAAAAGTACATTACATTCTTAGTTTGAAGAACCGTCATGGTTCAAGAAAAGGTCAGAAACACTCTTCTTCTGTCTCCCCAGAGCAGAAATGTGTGAAGTGTGTTTCCTTTCTCTGCCACGCTTCCTTCTTTATAATGGAATGTCCAGGCTGCTTCCAAATACAGTGAATATCCTGTTTTGGAACACTGGAAAATCTTGGCAGCCGTAAGCTAGGGAAAAGAAGGCAAATGAATGACAGAATTGATACTCTTTTATGCAGGTTTTCTGTTTAAAGAACAAATCCTTACCCACCATGTATCTGTCAACTATTGAGGGGGTGTTCTTCCTCTGTCCAGTTCTTTTAATTTAATGTTTCCACTCCATGGTTGTTGATGAGTTTTCTTGAACCAATTTTAGCCAATTTTGAAAGTATTTAATTCATTTTCTTTGTTTCAGTTCAGTGTTAGCACACTATAAACCCTGGAAATCTCTCTCTCTCTCTCTCTCTCTCTCTCTCTCTCTCTCTCTCTCTCTCTCTCTCTCTCTCCCCGTTTTATTTGCCTCAACCTTCACTTCAAAATAATATTGAACTAGCCCCTGGGCATGGCAACAATACAACCTCCTGCCAACTGGGAGAGTTCAGTGGGGAAATGAAAGGAATCCTTCCAGGCCTAAGGTCAATAGGGTGAACTAGTTGCTTTGTAGCACAGATAGACCAGGTTATCAGCATACTCCCTGGTGAGAATGGTATGAAACATTTGCCAGATTTCACAGCCCTGGTTCTGCCGTTGATTTTATTTTTTTTTCTTTAGCTGCTTGGTAGAGGAACAGTTGACATGATAGAAGTTCTTCTTTGATAGTTCATAGAGAACAAATTAAAATGATTATGTTCAGTGTAGTTCTCTTCCATCTTTTTCAAGAACCCTGAGAGTTCTTCAATTTACTTTTGGGCCAATCAGTTACACAATTTATAAGAGATAAGAACCAAAGAATTTGATTTTAGAATTCATAACGGTTACAGAGGTGACATAGGTTATTTGCTTGGACAGTATTTCCTCCTTTTTATTTTTTATTATGAAGAATTAGTCTATTCTCTTATTTCCAGGATGCACTTAGGTACCACTTATGAGATTAGGTTTTGTATTCAAAATTGCATGAGAATCTTTAAAGACATGGCAGAGAACATGAAATTCTATTCTTTTCTAAAATGAACAAGACATCCATCTGGGACTACCACTATTATTTATTAGAATATCCATTTTTTCTTACCAATACACACACACAGCCAATTTTTTGGTTTCAACATATGGTGATAGAGGTGGCTGTATATAATCTTGAATATTGAGCCACCATCAGGGATGGCTATCTCTTTGTGGGCGTGTGTCCACATACATGTTTCCAAGAAAGGGATACAATAAACCATTTTCCTGAAAATGAGTTCTTCCCAAATGCCTGGATTTTCTTTAAAACACAGATAAATCCTTTGGGTAAGACTCATGAATTCTTCATTTGTAAATGAGTTTATCAGCTGTTTTCCTCTCCACAGCCTTGTTCCACTCTGCAAGCATCCATGCCCTATTCTCTCAGGGAGAGAGGAGAACTGTTACAGAACAGGGAGTTTGCTGCTAAGACTCTTGGAAGTTGTTATATCTGCTTCGCAGTTTTGCCTGAAATGTACCATTCTCAGAGTGAAACATGGCTGCAATCTACCTACCCTTCATGCTAGGAAATGTTTCTTCATAGCAACCTGAAAAACCCGTTGTTTCAGAGCTTAATTTTACATTTTAATGTATTACCAGACACAGGTAAAATTCAGGATCCAGGTAGCAATAACAGTGGGGAAAATTAGATGTTGATTGTAGTGACTCTCCTAAGCTAAACAGCATATATTAAGAATGCATATATATGAGGAATCCTAACTTGAAAGTTATTTGTCTTACTTTAAATAGCTCTAACTCAGTTGGAGGACAATATATTTATAAGACATCCTCAGGTTTCATCCTAGAAAAAAAAAATCTGTGCTGATAGGAAGCAATTATTTGAATTTAAATATCAGTTATTCTGTTCATTTGGTTGTCTGACCCCGTTTCTTTTTTTGGATACATTAGAGTTAAGACCCAATCATTAGCTGTAAGCACAGAATACAGATGTGGTGTGGAAATGTACTCAAGTCACTGTAACACCTCGGTTATAAACTCCCACTGACTACACAAGGCCCAATGCATTCTGAGCTCTCACTTTGTAAGTCACATGTCACAGAGAGTGACTTTTGGAGTGTTAGACTTCAAGGACCAACCCAATCTCTGTAATGCTTCTCAACTATAGTCTACTTTTACTCTTTGCCTGTACTTCTAGTTCCATATTTGGGTCTTAATTCCAAATCTTTATAAGCAAAAAAACACAAAATGAATTAAGAAAGTGTATGATCAATAACAGGATTTTTTTTAGTGCAGTTTTATTTATCATATAAATACTCATATTTTTCAAAGGATGTTATATATTCTATGATGAGCCCCTATTTTCCTAAAATATTCAATTTTTAGGATTTGTGACTTGATAGTAGAGCATAACATTTTTAAGCTATTTTGAGTTTGAGTTTTCTTAGTTCATCTATTTAAAATATTTTGTTAAAATCAAGTCTTTCTTGCTCTGAACTTTTTGGACAATAAAATTATTCAACTTACATTATGAATTTGAAATTTCCCTCATATCTTTCCTCAACAGGGACAAAAGGTGATAGTCCTGTTTGCTCATAGAAAAGTACTTTCTTCTATAGGATTTACAGACAGAATATAATCTATAGACAGAATATAAGTAATTTTATCCACTTTCTTTCTTACCTGCTATCTTATTCAGAAAATAACTCTCCAGGCATGTCTAAACTTCTATAAATAACACTAAAACATGACTAGAATTTACTCATCACTAATAGTTTTTCTTTTTCCCCCTGGGAAATCCATGACTCATTAGGCGGGGAGTTTCATGTATGGGTTCAGGATGTCCATGAACTTTCTGAAAGTACTTTGTAATTATACTTGCTCTACAAAACATCCTTTAGCCTATAGACACTCCAAACTCTAATATATTTATCTCACCTTAAATATGCCTGCATTGTCTTTGAGGCTGAAGTGACATTTCCAGGAGATTGTGGCCCTAATTTCTTAGGGTCTATAGAGCTCACTAGCAAGCAGCACTTCTGAAGTAAAAAGTCGACTGCCCATCATCCTTGGTTACTATTGATATTAAACTTCATGCTTAAAAGAAGTGCATATTATCTTTACTTTTGTTTTCCTTTTCTAAAATTAAATTCAAAGCTGATTTGGCGGGGAGGGGAGGATAGAAATCACCTTTATATTATTCACCTAATTTATTGATTAATCAAATCACTTTCTGCCTGTCTCACTTCTAGAAAATATACCTTAGATTATAGATTGGTTGTCTACATCCTACTTTTGAATAAACAAATTACAATTATTTTTATTAAAAGTTAGTACAACAAAATATTTTATTGTTGTAAGACTAAGAACTTTAATGTTTTCAGTTCATATCAAAATATGAGCAAACAATGGAATAATAAAAACTACTAATGCCATGAAAAGGACACAAAAAAATCTGTTCAGTCATACTCAGCACCCTAGAGGATACCCCACGCAGGCTGCCTGCTAGAACTCACTGCTTTTCCTTTTGTCTTGCAGAAAGAATGTGCTAATTTCATCAAGGTGCTTAAAGCTTACAATCAGACTCACTTATACGCCTGTGGCACGGGGGCTTTTCATCCGATTTGCACCTACATTGAAGTTGGACATCATCCTGAGGTAAAGCTGGCTTTTAGAAAATCGTGTTCATCCCTGACCCCTTTCTATTCAAATGCATCATTACTGATTTATTCAGCTCATTTAACTTCTGGTTCATATTCAGTGAGAACTACTTCACATTCAGATGCTGCTATTCATTTTAATCTGTGAATGCAAAAACAATGAGACCATCACTCAAGGCTAGCTGTGGAGCAGGAGGAAGGAAGGGAGAAAGCACTTGCCTTCGCCCTGAATGGCGGAGTCAAATCCATTTTGCATGTGTGGCAGATGTCAGCTGGCTGTGTGTGCACCATCTTCCCCTTCATTTTTTATTGCCAGCTTTCCCCCTCCACTTCCATCCTCAGTCAGAGGTGTCTGCCACCCCAGTTGTTAGCTTCTGCCTGGGGGTTATAAAAGAATGCCATACGTGTACACAACGATCTGCTCCCATGTTTGACCTCAATTATTTTCATACATGTTCTAATTCAGCTCAATGATATTTTTATATTGTTGGCTATTATATTGGTGAGATGGAAAAATGTTTCTTTAATATGTTTATGATTCCTAAAAGATGTCTTTGTGAGAAACCTTGGTGAGGAGATTAAAATGAGATAAATTTAAGTAAAAGTTGAAATTAGGAGAATATTGAGAGGAAAGGTTACTAATATTGAAAATAGTTTCATGAATTGGGCTTACTAATAGCCTTCCATGATAAGCCCTTTTATAACTTCTGGCTCAAAACCCTAAGAATAAGCGCATTTATGCAGTGAGAAAATCATTTGTGACAGAGTTTTCTTCCAAATTGGAATTCAGAAATACTTAACAAATAAAGGATTTGTTCCCAGGATATTTCTGGAACCCTAAAGATAAAATGTAATTTACATGTTAGCCACTTCTTTATAACTTAAACTTCAGGATCTCCAAATTATTTTTAAGATGTCCTAAAGTGATGCAAATGTGTTCTTTCAACCTAAAGGCTTAGAGATCAAAACAGTGTTGTGACAGTTTTTTTTTTTTTAGTAAGACACCTTAGAGATGTCTAGATGTGGTTTCTAGACTACCTACCATTATTATTACTTTCCTGTTGAGCCTGAGGAGATTAAACACTTCCCTCAGGTCAAATCAGTTTAGATGATTGCCTCTCTATTTCCCCACCACATCCTTCCTCCTCTTCTCCACAAGCATGTATACTGTACTTGCAACATACCCAAAAGGTGTTTGTTTTAAAATGTATTTTTATCTGTCTCAGAGAAGAAGGGAGAAGGTAGAAAGAGATAGAAACATCAAGGATGAGAGAGCAGCATTGTCCAGCGGCCTTCTGCATGCCACACACTGGGGATTGAGCCAGCAACCATGTGCCCTGACTAAGAATTAAACTGTGACCTCTTGGTTCATAGGCCAATGCTCAACCATTGAGCCATACAGCCAGACATACCCAAGAAAAAATTAACTTTAAGGAAAGGCAGTTTTACTTAAACTGCTTGTTTCATATTGGTGAAATCAGGAATAATTTCCTGCACATAGTACTGAAGACTTAATACACTCTCCCTCTTTGCCTATTTGTCCATTTTCTATCATCAGGGGCCCTAGAAAACGGTCTTGAGTGTTTACTCCACATTTTTAATACTCTAGAGATAGCTCTAGAGAATTCCCTAATATTGTATTGTACTTTAGGCATCTGTATGCCAGGCATTATGCTGTCAGAGCAAGGCAGTCCGGAGAGCTGAGCTCCAATCACAGGTTAGATGGTGTCACATCTGTCTTTGATGTTGTTCTTACAATGTACTAGCTGTGAAACAGGGGGAAATTACTTAACCTCTCTGAGTCTCTGCCTCACAGTGTGTAAAACAAAACTAAACAAATCCTGCTCAATCCTCTGTATTCTTATGTTTTAAGTGAGAGTTGGACTATTCACCTCCTAGCAACCCATTGACATTTTTGCTGTAGAAACTCAAGGAGTTCTAATCCCATCATTGTTAAATGCATGCCCTCTGACTTCAGACCGCAGGACTTTTGTCCAATCTCAATTCAATACTCCATGCTTGAAATAGAGCCAGCTACTTATTTTTCCCTTCTGTTTCTAACCTAGAAAGAGATAGGGAATGGTCCATACCTCATGGAGTTGTTCAGAGAGTTTAATAGGTAGCAGGTGCTGAAAATATCAGTTACCATTTTGAAAATATATATTTGCACCTCAGGGCTGAAAGCCACTGCTCTCTTTCATGTTAGTATTTAAGTGTCACTTTGCCTCTTAAATGTACGTCACTGCATCAGAGGACCCAAATTACGGCACTGAGCTCTCGTTGTTACCAGGTGATTCTGCACTTGTCTCTTTTTCCTACATTTTAAAATTTGAAGCTTAGATGTTATTGATGACCTTAAATTAAAATAATACATGTTGTTCCCCTACCAAAAGAATGTCCATTTTGTTTCATTTTTAAAGTTGCTATTTAATAGAGTTCATAGCATATTCCTTCTCAACTCATCAATTAATTATTCATTGCTGACTAATGGGGTAGAGGGGAATGGAAAGGTACAGGTTCTGGAAACAGGCCATTTAGTCAGACAAATGAGGCCATTTCTTCAACTGAAAAAAATAAAGATTCCATTAAATCTCCTTTGATGTGGAATATCAGGTTACAAGGGTTTTTCTGAAATTCTGAAGCTCAGAACCTTTAAGAGAGGCCTTCTCCACTGAGCTTCATTTCTATGGCAACTGTATATTGAGAAATATTGTTCTGGACCGTTTAGGAAGTCAGTGAAAAGATGATTATGCAATTACCTAGGGGATTTGGAGCCGTCTAGACAGTCTATCTAGGAAATTCTGGAAAAGAAATTATCAAGATAGTTTGTCTAGATGAAATTTAATTTTCAGTGCTTAAGCTTCCTTAAGAGAGAATCTGTTTTAAATTGATCTATACCGATACTGAGAATACTACCCTTGGATCTAAACAGTTATGCTATTTGGGGAGTTTGATAACAGAGACAATGTCTGCTTCATACAGTTAGGAAAAGAATGAGGGCAATGGAAATCACTGGAAGAGAAAGAAACAAAATAGCAGTCAGACCAAGAGCAGAATTTTTAGAGTTCATAAACTTTCATGAAGTTTGCGTTTAGTAACTTTATTTATAAGGATGTTTTTTCAGGTAAAAAACATGACACATCTTTGTCCTAGATTCTAGTTTAGAAGTAATATGTATACTTTACTGTTACCTGCCCTGCACTATATAAAATAAGTAAATAATTTTATATATAATCTGTCCAGCCCTTACATTTTATAAATGATTTATCATACAAAAAAAGACATTTTGTTTTTTTGCTTTTAGCATAGATTATATGGACACTTTACTTTCATTTTTTCTTTGCAGTGTTCTTCCTTTAAAATAACTCATTGTCTTAAATGAGTTCCAGGATTATTGAAACCTATTGTTAGAAAATGACATGATGGGCTTACAAATTCAGATGGCCAAAATGGCCACCAAAACAAAGACGACACTTTTGAAGTAGATAAAGCTTCTATTAATCACTTAAGAGCTTCAGATCTTGTTGGAAGAAATTAACAATTCCTTTTAAAAATGATAAACAGTTTGCAATTTACTGCCTTGCTAAATAGATCTTATTGTACTCTCCTGGCATTTTAAGAGCAATATTTATATTTTTGAACATTGTATTTCAAAACTTACATTTACAGAATAGTGAATGCCTTCTGACCACATACAGTATGTCACTGATTGCTGTATTAAAGAGATTTTCTGTTTTCTGTAGTCTGTTTGGGAATTGATAGACATATTAATTAACTCTAGTTCTATAAGATGTGTGTCAATCAATTCTTGGGTATCTGCCAATAGTACTAGACACTGCAGATAACTGCCAGTGAGGTCACATACTTCCTACACATGTATGTGTTTAACATAAAAATGCATGCAGAGTTCATGGAAGGAATGATTCAGAGCTAGAGTTCAGATGAGTTTTGTGTTTAAGCTGTTAGCACCCATGCCACTCAAATGAAAAATGTAAGTCATCCTTAAGAGACAGAATATTCCCAAATGGCTTATGATATATGCTATTTCCCCTTCAAACTTACATCTGTTAAGAAATGGTATGTGTTTAGGACAAGTATAGCTTTTCAGAGAAGTCTCTGGATGTATTCTCAAATTCCAAATGAGCCTCTTCTATGTACTGAGCAGGAAATCAAGGAAAGATGGACCCAGATGAAAGTTGGGAAATATTAACTTTATAAATCCCCTCATAATGCCATGATCTCAATTTATGATAGAATCAAAGGAACATTAAGAAATGCAGTGAAGCTTTTTAAAAAAAATATATTTTATTGATTTTGTACAGAGAGGAAGGGAAAGAGATAGAGAGTTAGAAACATCGATGAGAGAGAGTCATCGATCAGCTGCCTCCTGCACATCCCCTACTGGGAATGTGCCCTCAACCAAGGTACATGCCCTTGACCGGAATTGAACCCGGGACTTTTCAGTCCCCAGGCTGACACTCTATCCATTGAGCCAAACCGGTTTCGGCAGAAATGCAGTGAAGCTTAATGACTATCTATCTATAAGGTCCTTTCTACAATGACAACCAATATGTATAACATATTGACTATATATATATATATATATATATATATATATATATATATATATAAATCTTTTGCTAGGGTCTCCCCTTCCCTCAAGAATAAAAGTTTGTTTTAATACAAAACTTTAAATCAACCGCTCTTAGTAACAGTCCTCATGACCTAAGGTCGTTTAAGTCTTGATACCTGTCTTTCTCTGACTGGCTTATTTCACTTAGTATATTACTCTCCAGATCCCTCCTTGCTCTCTCAAAGGGTAAGGTCCTTATTTCTGACAGTAAAGAAAAGAAATCACCATTGTTCTGGGATACTGAGAAGGTAAATGTGATGCCACAGCTTTGTTTGTATCTAACTCTGGACTGCCTGCCTCGGATTCATGCATTTCTAATGAAAGCACTTACACTTTTCATGTGGAAAGGACCTACCCTTATAAAT